ACCTAGCAATGTCACCTTGGCTGTTCTGCACTTACTGTAATAACCTTTTAAATTCATCCTCAACCTGTTTGGTTATGTATGAACAATCTCTACAGCCTTTTCCCCCCTAAAATCAGGATTTCTACATGGATGACATCATATTGTGCATAGCATTACTATTATGCCCTCATTATTTCTGTGTATAAGTTATTTATAACCAATGAAACTAAAATTAGGAAAATCCTTTGTTACAATGTCACCATCGTCATCATCATCTCTCTTGTAAATGTTCCCCATTTCTGTACCTGTCAAAGACAAAAGACAAGTTTCCTTTTCTATGTTATATAATGAGTCAAACAAAGGAGCTCCAAAAGAGAATGCAATCAAGTACATTCAACTAAAATCTCCCAAAGCAGTACTCAGACATTCTTAGGTGGCAAAATATGCTGGGGCAGGAGGGAGACAAAGTGCTCCACCCTCCATAGGCACATTCAATACCCACATTTCTGGGCATTTCCAGACAATTCCAAAGCCTCGCCTGACCTCCTTCTTCCTGCCCCATCTTTTCTGTTATTCCCTTTTCCTGTTTCCAAATGCCCCTGCATTTCTGTCTTGGCCTTTTGGAACACCCGCACCGCCACACCCCACTGGGTTGGTTTGGCCTTGACTCCATTACTGGAAGAATTCTGGGTGGGAAGGGTGTGGTTACTATCCCACCACCACATTCCCGGCCTCAATCATTATTCTGAAGAGAAAACAAATCTAAAGGGAAAATGAATAGTGTTGGATGTTAAATTCATTGTTTAACATCTGTCTAGTATCTGAAATGTCATTCAGAAAAACAGGGACAATATACAAATGAAAATCAAAAAAGAATCAGGGTCATCTTTCTGAAAGAAGAAAAGGCCTGCAGTATCTACGTTAATTATTACAAAGCACAGGCCAGTAGATGTTTCATTACAATCTGGTAACACACAAAGTAAATTATCCAATTAGCCAATCAACATTAAGTATTATGACACAGCTTCTTGGTGGGTGTTCATTTCCTTCATTCAATAAATATTGGTAACACCTACCATGTGCCTGGCACAGGGCTAAGCTACCTTTGTTTCTTCTACAAACAAACCCACACAGCTCTTCCTGACCAAGCAGGCTGCTCTCTGGGGGCCACGGTCTTGCTCTCCATGTGATATACAGCCAATATTTGTAAAGGGCTGACTGAGTGCTAAGTCTTGAAACATTCTCTCACCTACAAAGTTACCTGAGACACTAAAGGATAGAACCAGCTGGCATCTAGCCCAGGCATCAATTCAGTCACTGAGAGGACAAATGCTTTTCTGTAAACAAAATTGCTCCCCTGAGAAATATACTAATAATGATACAACAACAATAATAATAAAAAAGCAAAAAAAAAAAGGTGCAAAGAGAAATATACAACATATCATTTAAGAAGAAAAAGAAGGCAGAATGAAAAGCATCATGTTGAAAGCGGCTACATTCTATAATGTTGGGGGAATATTTTAGTCTGTTTCCTCAACTTCTAGGCAATTTTTCTAAAGCACATACATGAGACTGAAATTGAAATTTCTAGGCTCAACTTTGAAAGCCCCTCATAGATGTCCCAGGTAACCTACCTCTCAAGGCATCCTAGAAACCAGCCACGCTTGGACATAGCCTCCTGCCGTCTCTCTGTCCAAGCCCTCCTTATATCTCAGGGCCCCACTCAAATGCCATCCTTCTGTGGAATGTTTCCAGATCCTCCCACTAGTCATCCTCTCCGTGACCCCTCCTCCCCAGACTCCTAACACAAATTATTCGTGCCTCTCATGACACCACTGTCTCTGATTTGATTCCTTGGTATATGTCAGTTTCTACACTGAAATATGTTACTTGAGGGCAGCAAAGATGTTACTTATGATGACTCCCTATCAGTAAGTGTTCAGTAATGTGTGTTCAATCTAGATTGTTCTACTTAAAAATCATGCTGTGAAACTTTCAATATTCTGTAACTGCCATACAATTATCATTTAATTTTTTTTAAGAAAGATTAGCAAAACTGGCTATCAAGGTTCTTCTCGTTGTATTTACATTCAACACTGTCACTGGAAACAAAAATTTCAAGGTGACAGCTGTTAATTTAACATTACTGTTGCACATTTTTAACAAAATCATTGTTGACATTTTCTTCTTGTCACTATCACAACGACAAAATTTATATCTCCCTTTTGCATAGTAGCTGCTCCAGAAAAGCTCAGACTGACAAGGATGCTGGTCAGCTTCCCAAACATAGCTCTAACAAGGTCTCCATTTTCCTTTCACTCTTAAATTCTTTGGCGAAATAAAAAGCAGAAAGATTTCTGTTTTCCATACTGCTTATCCACTAGGAGCTATTTTCAGAGTACAAATAGCAACATAGCCTATAAAAGTCATCACATTTGGCCAAGGCGCTGAAAATAACCTGGGTCTCTCGGCATGGTTCACAGCAAAAACTATTAATATGATCCTGTCGAATAATGTAGCTGTTACCCAGCTTTACACTTGGGATGCTTTCAGGATTTAAGCAGCTAAGAACAGGATCACAAACTAAATTTAAAACCCTCCAATGAAAACCATATTAAGCTGAAAATTATAAATTAAACTTGTCTCTAAGCAACAATCTAAATAGTTAAAACTTAGTGAAAACACTCACTTTCAAAAATAGCCTACTGCTTTGGCGTTTCCATTGGCTCATTACTGCCAAATGTACACATAAAAATCCATAGTACGTAAACCAATTTGAAGTGAAATAAATCTCTAAAATGCAAAAAAAAATAATAATAAATTATTAGCTAAAAAAAAAAAAAGAATTTAAGTCCTCAGTTGCCACTAACCCAAAATGCATAAAAATGCCTTTAAGTTTTAATTATTGGGTTGTTGGAAAAGTCATGACGCATTTTTGCAATGAAAAACAGAAGAAATACATCTTGACTTTTCAGACAACCCAATAGATAAGGAGCAGCTATGAAAAATATCATTTTTCAATCTAGCTTTTCTTCAATTTAAAAATTAGTCTATAGCACAAGTGGCTGACATGGAAGGACCATATGTTAATGAAAAGTAAAATGCCCAGTTTACTGCATAGAGGCCATCATCAAAATTTTACTAAAAAGTCAAAAGTTATTAAAAAAAAAGCTATTAGATTAAGAATCCCTATCGTATGGCCTCAGAACCCTAACGAAGTCTATGGAAATAACAAAGGAGTTTCGCTTTCACAGATTTTCCATGGCTATTCCCACTACCCAGGGTGAAATGATCAAATCCCCACCTATACGCATCTGAAAATCACTCTTGGAAATTTTCCACAGCAGAAGGGGAACACTGGCCTTGTTAACACAAAAATCGGCCTGGTGTCCAAGATTCTGTTTACAATCTAACCAAATAAAACTACAGATCAATGACAGACCATCAATCAGATGTTTTTGTTTGGTTTCATTGTCAGCTGATTAAAATATTGAGGGTGGTAGAAAGAAGCTTGTTCTAAGTAGATTAAACAAATTCAACCTTCCTGGGAAACAACACACACACATACACACACACTCCTCTTTCTTTCCCTTCCCTGGCACCATCGCTTGGGGATGAAGACACCCAGTCATTTCAACTCCCCAGAGGCTCGCTATATAGTCAGCTTCCTCACAGCACTTCACAGACGGGAACTGACTCACTGCATCGCAGGTAGGCAGGTTTCACTCGGAATCTTAAGCAAGTTCCCATTGTCCAAGCAAAGAATGAAACATCAATTTTACTAAAAGTTTCACATCAAAACTTGCCCGTTTCACAAGGGGGAGATCAGCAGCCCCTCCTCCTCCTCCGTTTTTCCTTCTCTCCCTGTTTGTTTCTAGGCTCAGCTCCTCTCCCGCCCAAGCAACTTCCTCCACATTTCTCCTCTCCAGTTCCAGAGGGCCCTTCCTCCAAACCGAGAGGAAGTTAAAGCAGCCCTGGCTGTTTACACCTGGCCCTGCCCTCTCCCGCTCGAGCACCAATTCTGCTCAGGTCACGGGAAGAACCGAGTGTCGTCCATACGCCTCTCACTCCATCCTACCCGGAATCTGGCGGGTGGGATCGCGCCATAGGTGGGAGGCGTTCCCAGAGCTGCCTTTCTTTGCAGATCCTTGCAGCTCCTGCAAAGCTGCTTCCCAAACCCGGGGCACGTTTTTACCCAGGAAATGTGGGTCCAGCCCTTCCCCAAGGTAGCGGCTGGAAAACACCAGTGAGACTCTGCACGCGGATATTCTGGGGGTGACAGTGGGGAACAGCTATGGGTGGAAGCTCATTCGGTTTCTAGACCCCAGCGACGGAGAACAATGTGTTGATACCAAGAGCTGAGCCTCCACCTCGCCGGGGCACCTCCTCCCCCCACCCCCACCCCCTTCCGCCACACACGAAGTGATGGGGCAGCGCGGACAGCGAGACCCCAAAGACCTGGCGCTCGGCGGCAGCACTGCCTACAGCTGGGCACTGCGCCTCTCCCAGGGGCCTCAGACAGACCGACAGACAGACAGACAGACACACACACAATGGGCATCCCCACACCTGCTTGGCGATGACCCGCCTCCCCCACGCTGCTTTCCTGTGTCCGATGCGAGGTGCCAGGCACCCCCGAGACACGCGCCCACAACCACGCGGGCAGCGAGAGGCGAACAATGGGGGTTCAAGTTCGCCAGGAAACACACCCCAGCTTTCGCCCCTGGCCAAAGCCGACGGCCGCGGAGGGAAGAGCGGGCCTGGGGGTTCACCCGGACGCACGCAGGGGGTCCTGCGAACCCGGCGGACCGGGCCGCTGCCCTCAGGGCGCGGAAGGGACAGGGGCGAGCCCAGCGCGGGGGGCCGCCTCACCCCGCAGGACCTGGCCTCTGGCATGGGGGCGCCCTGAGGAGGGGGCACCGGGGAGGGGCACCCCGGGCTGGAGGAGCGCCCCGGGCCGCCCGCCGTGACCCCGGCCCGCGTCTGCTCTGTCCCTGCGCCCATCCCTGGACCTCGGTTACCGCCGCCTCCGCCGTCGCCCCCGCCGCGTCTTCGGGGGCGCGGGAGAAGTCGGGCTCGCAGCTCGCGCCGTCCGTCGCCATCTTCCTGCTCTAGCGGCTCCGAATGCGAGCTCGGAGCGGCGGCTCCGGGATCAGCCCTCTCCGCGCGGGCGGCGCTTCACCCGCAGCGGGCCGGGGACGCGGGCGCGCTCCCTCCGCCCCTCGCCGCCGCCCCCGCCGCCTTAACCCGCTGCGCGCTGGAGCGCCGCCCGCGCCGCCCGGCCCCTGCAGGTACGGGAAATGGGCGCACGCCCGGGCCTGGCGGTTCCGACCCTTCGCGCAGATGGGGAATCACAGCCCCCGGTTGCAGTGAAGGAAAGAGAGAGCCCAGGAGGTGATTCGCCCAGCGTCTTCCCCAGCAAGCCGGCGGCGCACACGCCGACCGGATGAAATGTCAGGCTTCCTGAATCTGAATTCTCTGTAGGATAAAGAAAACCCACCACTTCAGCCCCCTCTATCCCACCGCTAGGAATCTCGGAAGGCATCCTTTTCTTTTTTGCTTAAGTTTGTTTGTTGCAGAACTGCAGCCAGGGCGTTTTTGCCTTCTTGGTATATATACCTGGCTTTGTTTTACTATGTATTTGCCTCTCATCTTTCTCCAAAAGCCATCAACTCCCAGATGAAAATGTGTCCTGCTATCATTTTCACCGCTGCACCTGCTCCCTCGACCCCTATCTTTCTATACAATCTCTTTTTCAAGAAAGTTGAAGCAGGGTCCCCCTTTGACCCTTCAAGTATGAGGTATTTTCCTAAGGGCTAACCAAGAAATGTTAAGTGCCATTACTTGTAGAAGGAGGCTCTCTACTTTTAAGAGAATTTAAAAGAATTACTCCCATGTGGTGGGGACACGCTCACACAGCCACCCTCCCCCCAAAAAAATTTCCTTAAAGTCGATTTTATGGGAATTACAGGTCTTAGAAGATACTTCATGAGATGAGTGAGGCCCAAATTCTTAATTTTCCCCTCTCACATCTGATTCAGATCTTACCCTTTCCTGCCAATTTCCAGGATGTGAAAATCTATCACCTTATCAAGACCATATGGTACAGACCTTCCCAAATCACCAGATCCCAAAAATGTGTTGAAAGTACAAAATCAAATGGAAGCATTCGAGCTGTGTCTCAAAGAAGTAAAATCAAACCACAACCAAATCCTGGACTTGAAATTCTGTAAGATGAATGACTGGAATGTTCAGTCCAAGGATCACAGATCAAAGCTCTTTTGCTTTTTAAATTGCAGACTCCTAATGAAAGGTTTTGACACTTTAATTGCCTCACTTTCCAAATTCGATCTAAATATGACACAAACCAGGGCAGAAAAAAATCTTTTCTGCAAAGGTTTGGAAAGGGCTGATCAATAAATTGTAAAAGGTTCCCTTCCTGAATTGGTCTACATCAAGAAAGAACTTTCACCTGGAACCCTGGGGTTAAGGGTCACAGGTTTAGAAATCACCTCCTGGGTATCCTATAAGCTGAGGTGCTCAATGGTTTATTTTCTTTGACCTTACTGTGATAGCTACTCCCGCTCTTAGCCCTGTGCTTTTCATCCCTGTTCACTATACCACCTTCTTTTATCAACATTTTCTCTGAAATTGCTCAATGTTATAATAACTAGATTCCTTATAAGATGAAAGAAAAGCATTTGACAGTAAAACTTAGATGCTGAACTGATAGTAAAATATTTAAAGTTGAAGCCAAAAGCATTCCTTGTTCTTTTCAAAATGCACTTTTGTACGTCACAGGGCAATGAATTTTCTTGATACTGATACTTGATACTGTGGTTGAATTGCTACCCAAGAAATTGACTCACTTCTGGGGGGGGGAGAATAAAATAATAAACTTCACTTAGGGGATAAGAATTAAGAATATGAGATGACAATATTTCTGGGAAGTAAATGCCAATTACTTTATACATGCTGCTCAATTAAAAAAACATCATTGAGAAGAAATAGCTTCTATTAGTCTAAATACAATTAAAGCAGAAGCATGCCACAGAGGAAAAAGAATCAATTAATCAATCCCTGAGCAGTGTCTTCCCTCTCACTTCCTTTTTTTTTTTTTGTAGAATGAAAAATAAACAGGTGAGAAAAATCACAGGACAGCACATTTTTTTAACTGCCAAAATCCAGGATGTGGGAAGGAAAATAAAGACCATTTTGTCTCTACTTTACAGCTGCCACTGCCCGCTGCCCAGGGTTAAAGGCATGTCCCATCCCACTGCACAGAAGCAGCATGCTAGGAGTTCGCTCACTCACCACTGGCCCCCTGGCTGCTTCTCTAACAGGAGACACTTGCTGGTTTAAATTCTCTCCTGAGAATTAGCCTCTGTTGAGATTGAGATTGCAAATTAACTCTTTCTGAAAGACTTTCTTTGTACAAGATAGGCTCTGTTAGAGTCAAACCAAATAGATCTGGAAGGGTAGTGACTTGATGGCTCCAGAAATTAAATCTTTTGAAGCTTCATTAAACAGAAAAAAAAAGAGGGGGGGGGGATCCCAGGGCTAGAGTGAAAATTTCTGAAAGGCAGGGGGAAGAAGAAAGATGGAAGTATAAGCAGGAAGAAAAGAAACCCCTGCAACAAAAACGAAAAATGATTTTTAATCAGTAAATTACTTTCGGCATTAAAATGAAAGGAGAGATACTGAACACATTGCAAGCAGAGGAAACTATTAGTTACATTGTCTTCTCTTTAACATAATGAAGTGAATGACCTGACAAATGAATTTAGAGGAATTATTTCCTGACCCAGGGAATGGAAGGAAGTGTTTGTGCTCAGCTACAGGGAGCGCACTGTTCAAGATTAGTCTCTTTTAAGACTAATGAAATGGGTTGCTGCTGCTACCGTGTTTCCCTGAAACTAAGACTGGGTCTTATATTAATTTTTGTTCCACCAATCTATATTTATTCATTTATTCATGTACAAAAATCTACATTTATTCAAACAGTCATGTCTGGCTGACAATCTTAACTGGGGCTTATGTTTGCAGTAGGGCTTATATTCCAAGCATCCTGAAAAATCATGCTAGGGCTTATTTTCTGGTTGGGTCTTATTTTCCGGGACACACGGTAGAAATGCAGATTGTGGTCGGAGAGCCAAGTGGTTTTCTGATTAAATCATGGCCTTGGCCACACCAGCCACATCTTCCAGCCCACTGAACCAAAACCCCAGAGAGTTACAGATAACGATGCAATGGGATGCTTCCTCCCATTTGAAAAGACAAAGGATATCCTAGAACAGTGTCCCTCCTCAAATAAGAGAATTCTTTATTTCAGTCAAATGACATTATGTAAACTCCAAAGAGCAAACCATACGTTATCATGTCTTAGTACTGCCAAATGACAAAATTACTGAGTAGCAAACCCTTTCCAGACTATCCACAAGGCTGTAGTTATACAATGTAAATATTGCAGACCACGCTTATGCCTGTCTACACCGCAGCAACCAACTTAGCCAGCCCCAAATCTCGACGTCAGGAGCTCTAACAGAGCACACATGAGCTTCAGGGCCCTGTATCTATTTTTTTTTTGAAACCAAGACATTGCCAGAAATGAGTCTTCCTGTGACCTAACTACGTTCCCTCATAGTCAGCTTGTCATTATCTATATGTGCTTATGCTTTTTGTACATTTTACTCAGTAAATTTAATCCTAATTTAGTTAGGCACTATTGTCAACCATCTATGGTTTTGGAAGGCCTTCTCCACTGCAGTTGGTTTGTGTCAAGGGAATGCAAGCTAATTTTACCTAAGCTAAAGCAAAATATAATTAGAAAATTAAGTCTGCTAGGCAGGAAGCAAGCCAAAGCTAACCTTAAATATTGTCATTATAATCATTCCCAGCCCCTTTTAACTCCACCTCTAGCTGGGAACCACATTTGGTAATTCAAAGCTAAAATGATGTCCAAATATAAGATGTTATTGATGAGTTAAAGGCACAGTAAGGACATTATTCTCCAGACTAGTCACTCTAGGAACAGAAACTGGGCTCATACAGAACAATAAAGCAGAATTGGTTCCGTTTTATTAAATGTTTTGAAAATCTTAAACCATTGTTTGTTGATTTGGACTCATCTGCAGAAGTCACTTACAAGAGTAAGTTTTAATGCAGGAGGATGGTTTAGTACAAAACCTTCATGGAAAACCAATTTCAACAGAGGACACTGGCCTAGAGCTGCCCCTCACCCACCTGAACTGGAAATGGATCTGAATATTTCCGTGTATTCAGCCTCTTTAGCAACCCCACAAACCTGCAGTATGTGGTTACTAGGCAACCACTAATGCAGGGGTGTCTATACCATTAGGCATTAATTATAGCAAGCTTTATTTTTCTTAGAAAGTCTTAAAACTATATAAATAGGTTGTGAGATGAGACCCTTTTCTCCTCTGATTAAGAGTGTAGAGGCAGCTATAAAACCAAAGTTGAGATTTTCTTTTAACTATGGCCATGTATTGTTCGGTTCAAAAAGGAAACATCGTGTTTGAAGAATTAATAAAGAAACTAAAGATGATGCCCTTCGATTTTAATAAATATGCAGCTGTCATTTATGATGGTCTCAGTGATGATTTACTTATGATACAAAAAGCAGGAGAAAAGCAGTAAATGTAAATAAAACTGTGAAATAAACCAGCATGTCAACATTTCCCAGACAATCATAATCACAGCCACATACCCAATTAATGCAGTTTCAAATATCTTCGGAATTTTTGAGACAAAAATTCCACCTTACACTACCCCAAATCTCACTTGATGATAGTCATTTTTTTGTCCACCAAGACATTTTTTGATGGATTCAAATCAGTTGGGCTCATTTAAAAACACCTGGAAATGTGATACCATTATTTGAAAAGAAGTAATATAAAATATATATAGCAGAAGTTATTCAATTAACCAACAAAAAATAAATTTAATTCATATTTATAAAACAATGTCATGGTTAGAATTGAAGGCTTAATTATATTTGTGATTCAAGAACTGAAAGGGGAAAGGAAGCATGGGTGTTGTTACTTTCCTCCTAAGGGAAGGCAAAGTCACTTGTAGAATAATAAAGAAAAACAATTCTGACAAATCAGCATTAAGGTTTAATGGAATGGAATGTTTCATTCTGGCAATTAAAGAAACATTTAACCACTGAAGTAGTTTTATGCTAGCAATGTAATATTTTT